CCTCTTCTTCGCAAGTTCAGTTTTAGCCTAGCTCCCACATCCGATTCCAACTCTCCTTCTTCGAGCTACCTTTCGCAAACCTACCTTTACCTCACCCCGCCGAGCGTCTCCGCGAATCACAACTCTAAGGTACGACATTATTGTATTCAGTTACGCGACACGCGACGCGAGTCTTACGACGCGGAGACATCTGTATAGTACCATATGATTGTGTTTGACTAGAGTAAAATAGACGCACGAAGAGTAGTTTTTATAATACTGCGTTTCTGTTATCTATCGACGCAACAACCTGACACTACCCTTAAGGCGACTACCTCGCACATGCCAAACCGTGAACCTGCAGGGTAACGGCAGTTCAGAGACTGACTTATAGTAGCAGCAGCAGCAGCGGCAACAGCAGTAGCAGCACCAGTAGTAGTAGTAGCAGCAGCAACAGCAGCAGCACCGGCGGCAGAAGATCTCTCTGGTTGGAAATTGCTGGAGTTTGCGCGGGAGGCCGAAGGCTCCGATCCGTCTGGTACTCGCTTCCTGTGCATCGCTTTAGGCGCAGACGCAGTTAGAGTTTTATATACGCGGCGTCTCGCGGCATTCAATGTGCCTGCATGATCACTCGTAAAGATGGAAGCACGCACGCACGCACGCACGCACGCACGCACGCGCTGGTCACGGCTCCAGTATAGGGAGGTATATTTCTACCCGTGATCGTAGTAGTGGTTACGCGTGAGTGTGTTGTATTACACCCTTGCTAGCGTCTATTTAAATACAGGTTATAAAGAACATAACGACTATAATGTACGTATCCAGTTATCTCTTTAATTGTACAGCATAAGCCCATAGCGGGGCGAACGCTTACAGTGGATGTGCGCGAGTAACATCACAAACTTACGAGGTTATTGCTGAATCGTAGCCGGCTCTAACAAATCTCGTATATATTACAATCTCTCTGTCTCACTCTCTCTCCGATCTCTCTCTTTATTCGAACACGCGGTTATATACAAACATAGGTAGACACGCCTACCTATTGTTTGTGGTCAGTCCGTTCTACGTTACCGTCTGTAATTGGCTAATTCTACCACTGTCTAGTCCAGCGTTATAACTTTACACAGCTGTCCTGTATACCAAACTAGAACAATAGCTTATTCCTGTATATTTACTTCTCTGTCTTTCGACGGTATTACGCGCCACGCACTCACTCTCTGTTTCATTGTTAGCTCTTCTCTCTCATCTCTCCTCTCTCTCTCTCTCCTCTCTTCTCTCTCTCTCTCTCTCTCTCTTCATCTCTCTCTCTCTCTCTCTCTCTCTCTCTCTCTCTCTCTCTCTCTCTCTCTCTCTCTCTCTCTCTCTCTCTCTCTCTCTCTCTCGTCTGTCTCTCTGTCTCTTTCTTCTGTCTCCTGTCTCTGTCTCTGTCTCTGTTCTGGTTGTCTCTGTCTCTGTCCGGTCCTGTCTCTGTCTCTGTCACTGTCTCTGTTCTCTGCTTCTCTCTCTCTCTCTCTTCTCTCCTCTCTCGTTTCTCTCTCATCTTTCTCTCTCTCTCTCTCCTCTCTCTCTAACTCTCTCTTTTCTCTCCACCCTCTCTCTTCCCCCCCTTCCTCTCTCTCTCTCTCTTTCTCTCTCTCTCCCTCTCTCTCTCTCTCCTTCGCCTGCCCTCTCTCTCTCTTATTATAATCTCGATTTATGTTGCTTATTTTTGTTGTTGTTGTTTTGTGTGTTGTGTGTGTGCGTTTTGTCGCATTTATGAACATACAAGTCCTCGTTGACCCGCAGACGATGAGCCACGGAATGGATGGCAAGATCCCCCGATTTTTGTTCTCTCCGTGAATGACGCATGTGCGCACGGGCGCCGCTGCCTGCAGCACAAGCGGGGGGTTATTTATGACACTAGGCGCAGCATGCTGTGTGCTTCTGAAAGGGATTACGGCCCCGAGCGACGCGTGCGCCGTGCTGCGAAAAGGTCTCCCGCTCGACTCTGTCTCCACACAATGGCCGGACATTTTCGCTAAATTAAGTTGAGGCTCACTCGGCTAGCCCGCGCGGGGGGACGCAACCAGGGGGTGTGAGGGGCGTGGATGGGCTTGCTGTGTTAGCAGGGCGGGGGGGCGAGGGTGGAGTGCTGCTTCTGTGCTTAACTGCTTTGTGTGTTAAGTCTCACGGAAGACACATGATCGTTCAGAAGGCTGCGTAATCGTTATTTTCGCCACATCAACCGAACGAAGCGGCCGGGCTGCTTCATTTGCATGTAATGAATTAGCGCGTGTGCGTGGCGGTGCGTGCGTGGTGTAGTGAGTGTTGTGTGCGTGGTTGTGTGTGTGTGTGTGTGTGTGTACTGTGTGCCTCCGTGCGTGAATGCGTGCGCTTGCTGTTGCGGTGCAGCTGTGATGCGCGTGCGCGTGTGTGAGTGTTGTGTGCCGTGCGTGTGTGAGTGTGCGTGAGTGTGTGTGTGTGTGCGTGCGTGTCGCGGGCGCTGCTGTGCCATGTGCGTGCCGGTGTACAGGTTGCTTAATCAATCTATGCGGTCGCCGCGCGCCGTTCTATATCTATATATTTATTTATTTATTTCATTTATTTATTTTATTTATTTATATATATTAATATTAGTTCTATTATTTATTGTTATGCATTCCTGATTTTATCGTGTAACAGTGACAGTATACAATGGAGTCTATTTAATAATAAGGTATATATTATATGGTTTAGGTTTATCCGTACCTGATTGTCACGACTATCGGTGTGACCATACCATCGCTATCACTTTACAGCCGGGCTTATCGGGTATATGTCTCTCTCGGCGCTCTCACCAGATTACACAGACCGCTCTCTTCCCGCTTGCATACAGAACTCACCCTGTAAAGGTCTTTTCCTTACGATCTCTCTTCTCTTCTCTGTCTCCTCTTCTCTCTGCTCTCTCTCTTCATTTCTGCTCTCTCTTCTTCTCTCTCTTCGTCCCGTCTCTCGTCTCTCTCTCTCTCTCCCTGCTTCTCTATCGTCTATCTCTATCTGGCTAGTCTCTTATTTCCTTATCTCTATCCTCTATCTCGTTAATTGCTCCCCGCCTCGCTCTCCGTCTCTATCTCGTCCGTCTCGCCCTGCTCTCTCCTCTCTTTCTCTCTTCTCTCTCTCTCTCTCTCTCTCTCTCCTCTCTCTATCTCTCTCTCTCTCTCTCTCTCTTCTCTTCTCACTCTCTCACTCTCTCACTCTCTCTCTCTCTCTCTCTTCTCTCGCTCTCTCGCTCTCTCGCTCTCTCGCTCTCTCGCTCTCTCGCTCTCTCGCGCTCTCTCTCTCTCTCTCTCTCTCTTCTCTCGCTTCTCTCTTCGCCGTCTGCGCTTCTCTCTCTCTCTCTCGCTCTCTTCTCTGCATGGCCTCGGCTCTGCCCTATCTTTTCCCCGTATCGCAGCTCGATAACGACCGGCAATGCGCTGTTGTATTCGCGGCCTGTTAGCTAGGTATTTAAGAGGAGATTAGAAGCTAAGAGGGGAGGAGAGAGCGGAAGGGCTGTGAGCCAGAACGCGGCGAGCGAGAGCGAAGAGGAGGAGGAGGGAAGGGCGGAGGGTGAGAACGCGGAAGGGGGGAGTGGAGGGGATGAGAGGTTATGGGGGGAAGGCAGAGGCGATGCCGGGGAGAGCCAGAGGGAAGCGGGAGGACAATAGGGGATCGAGAGGGAAGCGGGCATAGTGGAGGAGAGGAGAGGGTAAGCAGTGGAGCAGGAGGAGGAGCGAGAGGGTGAAGTCGGAGGCGGAGGAGGGAGGAGAGGGAAGGTGGCGGGAGCGTGAGAGGATGAAGGAATGTCGTTTACTACGCTGCGTCATGCTACAGTCTCCGGTTTTAACGAACGCACGATGGTCATGCCGTCTTTCCCCCGCGGCGCTGGCCGGCGGCTTCGCTGTTGTTTGCGCTTGGTCACATTACGGTACAGTGTCAACTTGTCACTTCAACCACGTACCGTGTTGATAGGCGATATTCTGATGCATCTGTCAGATGAACGCATACACGGCGCGTGATTGCACTAATACGCACCGCACGCACGCACGCCACGACGCGCACACGCCCCCACTGCACGCACGCGCACGCCACGCACGCACACACACAACACGCACACTGCGCACGCGCACACGCACGCGACGCACACACGCACGGCAGCACGCGACGCACAGTCACGCGCGCACGACTGCACGCACCACACACACACACGACGGCACCGACGCACGCACAGCAGCCACGCGCACACGCTACCACGCACCGCAACACCGCCACGCACACCGCACGCACACTTTAAGGAGCGACCGGACAAGAACAAAAAGAAGGAACAAATAACAGTTATCTGTCTGATTATTTTTATTCGCGTTCGCGCCTTTTTCAGCACATTTCGCTGTTTCAGTTACGCAATTGAGGAGTAAATGAAGAAGCGGCAGAGTGAGGAGGATCGGGGTGTGGAGGAGATGTGGAGGGAGGAGAGGAGGGAACGAGATGGAGGAGAAGGAGGGAGCGAGGAGATGGAGGAGGAGGGAAGATTGAGGAGGGGGGGAGGCGGGGAGGGAGGAGGAGCAACGGAGGAAATACGGTGGAGGATGAGGATGGGGCAGTAGCAGATGAAGTAGGTAGGAGGAGATTGAGGAGGGGGGGGGGGGAGAGGACTCCTCTCTGTGAGATTGGCCGCAGTTTAGCAGCTTGGCAGGAGGACGGCAGGAGGAGCGGGCAGGAGGAGGAGGAGGGAGAGGATGGATGGCAGGCAGAGGCAGTGAGAGTGTACTGCACTTGAATCTCGCACTCAGGCCTCGATTCAACCCCGCCCTCTGTGCCGGTGATGCATCATCGCGATGTTAAATGGCCTTCAGCGATCTGAGATTGAACTTCACTGAATTAGATGCGGGCATCCACGCGTGTTACCGAAGCCGGGTGACGATGACAGCTGCCCGCTGACGATGACGGGGACCGGTTGACCTGGTGACGCTGACAATGATTGGGTGACGGTGAACGAAGCCGCCGCATTGAGAGCGGCGTTGACGATGACAGTGACGCTGACGATGACTCGCGTGACGGTTGACGGATGCCGCCGCGCAGAGAGCGACCGCTCTCAAACTTAGGGTGAGAAGGAGAGAGAGAGACGAGCGAGGAAAAACGAGAGAGATGAGAGATCAGACAGAGCACAGGGAGAATGCGGAGAGAATGAAGAAAGAGAGTAGAGAGATAGACAGACACAGGAGACGGAGGGGGAGGACGAGAACGGGTAGGAGCAGAGAGAGATGGTGCGAGCAAGAAAGGCCGTGAGAGAAAGATTACGGTAGACCGAGAAAAACATATAGTCGGCGACGCACATGCACTCGATGCCGTCATGCCACATCTACTCCTGCTACACAACGATGCGTAGTCACTGCCTAGCCTCCTCCTGAGATCACACGATCATCATAACATCATCAGCTTCGCAGCAGACGTCACATCAAAAGCCTAACTGATGATTGTTACTAGGGCTTGACGAGACTGAGAGCGCGACTGCCGAGGGTGACGGCCTTCTTCGCTGGGGGACTCTACATGAGACACTGGACGTAGGGACTGCCCTGACCTGACATGTTACAAGGTTGACAGGACGAGAGCGGGACTGGCCGAGCCGTGACGCTTTCTACGCTGACTCGTTACACGCAGACATGGCAGCGTAACCCTGCCCTGAACCATGGAGCCTGACCTGCTCTGGTAATGGCTGATGCACAGATTCAAACAAGAATGCAGGATGTTATGCGGCGCCGGCGCAGTAGCGCAGCCAGCCAGCACAACATCAACAGCCGAGCAGCAGCAGTAGCAGAGGTAGCAGCCGCAGAATTAGCCAGCAGCGTCAGCAGCAGTAGCCAGTTAAACAGCAGCTCAGCATCCAGCAACAGCAACAGCCAGCAGCAACAACGAGGGCAAGCACGGCAGCCGAGCAGTTGGTAAACGCCAGCTGAGCGGAGCAACAGAGCAGATGCGACGACTGCTGATCTTCATTGTGGCTCTTCATCACGACACGCTCGCATGTCACGTCATATCATCCATCATCATCATCAATGCATCATCATCATCACCATCATCATCATCAAGCAGCTAGCCAGCCCAGCGACTAAGCAGCATCCCTCATTACTCATCGCCGCACCATTCGATTTATCATCATCATCGTCCACCATCTCATCGTCACCATTCATCATCGTCACCATTATCATCGTCGTAGCATCTAGCATCCTCATCCTCGATCTATCAGCATCTCATCATCTCATCGATATCATTATCAAGACGAACGACTATTAACGAAGAGCGTTGCGCAATCGATTGTCGGCGGCGATAATGAGGTGGCGACGCGCATAGAATTTCATTTTCTGAGAAGCAGCCGGCCAGCAGAGTGATGTTGATTTATCACGGCTCGTTGCGTGCGTAGTGTGGCTGTGGTTGTCGACTGCCATAGCTACCGCCGTAAGCTTCTTCACTCATCAGGCGTAAAGGCTGCAAGGTTTAGCTTGAGCCGAGAAATAATCAGCGTCATCGTCGCGTCGTCGTTCTCTTTTATTGTTGTCGTCAGCTCGACGTCGCGTCGGAGCGATTTCTTGTTCCGGTTTGACGTTCGTCACTTGTTATCATGCCTTCGTCGTCCATCAGCATGCCCTACTATAGACGCTGCCATGGTGTGAGTTGTGTGAGGCTCACGGTATATCCTACAAGATTACAGGAGCAGTAGATCAAGAGCTCGATCCAGCGCTAGCCTGGTCGTAGAGAGCGCAAGACACAAACGAACATAACACAAACTAGCTTAAGTAAACACCACACGCACGATTACACGAATACGCGCGCAAACACAAATACAGGCGCAGACGAGCGAATCGGCCGTAGTTTGCGGAACGTGCCGTATCTGCTACAGGTTCAACCCGCGCGTTCTAACGCAAACACGCGAGCTAAACGCACGTGTAAGTGAACGGAAATACGAATGCTATATTCATCTCCGATAACGTCTGCCATAGCAGCAGCAGCAACAGCAGTAGTAACAGTTGCTGTAGCAGTAGGTACAGTACACAGTAAGCTGTAGGCAGTAGTAGTAGTAGTAGTAGTAGTAGTTAGTAGTAGTAGTGGTAGTAGCAGCAGCGCGTAGTAACAGTAACTGGCTAGCAAGCTAGCAGTAAACTGTAGCAGTACAGTAGCAGTAGCAGTAGCGTAGCAGGTCGCCAGCAGCCAGCGTAACTTAGCAGCAGCAGTAGCTGTAGCAGTCGCTGTAGCCAGTAGCAGTAGCTCGTAGCAGTAGCTGTAGCGTAGCAGTAGCAGTGCAGTGAGCAAGTGCAATAGCAATTAGCAATAGCAATAGCAGTTACAGGGTAAGCAGTAACAGCTAACAGTAGCAGTAGCAGTAGCGAGATAGCTGTAGCTGTAGCTGTAGCTGTGCTTGTAACAGTAACAGTACAGTAAACAGTAACGAGTAACGGCTACGAGTACGTAACAGTAACAGCTAACAGTACAGGTAACAGTAACAGTAACAGAGTACAGTAACAGTAAGCGCCGTACCAGTAACAGTAACAGTAACAGTAACAGTAACTCAGTAACAGTAGGGGTAGCGGAGTGAGCAGTAGCTGTAGCAGTAGCAGTAGCAGCTAGCCGAGTGTAGCGAGTGCAAGTAGCAGTAGCAGATTAGCCAGTGTAGCTAGTAACGTGAGCTAACGAGAACAGTAACAGTAGCAGTGCAGTACGCAGTAGCGAGTAGCGGTCGCAGCAGCAGATACACAGTAGCGCGCACCACCACCAACCATCACCGTCACACCACCACCACCATCACCACACCCATCACCACCACCATGCACCATCATCGATCACACCACCAACCACACCACCACATCGCATTCAGTGCCCTCATGTACACAGCCGAGCAGCAGTGAGCGCAGCAGCAGCAGCAGGCAGCAAGCAGCATGCACATCGTTGACAGGTTTTGGCTCGCTTGTGCCGGGATTCCATCAATGACAGTTTAAGCCGAGCTTCAGCGGGGAGACGTTCCTCATTACAAGCGCTCTTTAACTAGCCAGCTTTTTACGTCCCCGTCTCCATTCTGCGCCCGCCGCGGTAAAGCATGTGGTGTTTGTGGCATACTTAGACTGCGATGATTTTTGTCCTGGATTGTTAATCCATTATTCAAGATATCCGTTCCTATAAATCTATTCTTTTGTCTCCCTGTTGCTTTTCTTTTTCTCTCTTCCCTCGCTCGCTCTATTTCTTCTCGTTCTCTCTCTCTCTCTCTCATCCCTCTGCTCTCTCTCTTTCCTCTTTATCTCTTTAATCTCTCTCCGGCGGCCTTTTTCTTCTTTCGCTCTTTCTCTCTCTCTCCCTCTCTCTCTTCTCTCCGTCACTCGCTTTCTCCCTACTCTCTTTTTTTCTCTCTCTCTATCTATATACATGTGTGTGTGTGTCTGCGCGCGTGCGTGCGTGCGTGCGTGCGTGCGTGCGTGCGTGCGTGCGTACGTGCGTGCGTGTGTGTGTTGCTACTGCTGCTGCTACTGCTGCTGCTGCTGATGATGATGAGGATGATGATGATGATGATGATGATGATGATGATACTGCAGATCAGGGTGGGTTGTCAGGCAGCATCCGTTGCTAATGGCCGCGTCTATCTTAATGCTCGCAGATGCTTTCAGTCGCTATACCCGCCAATTAAACATTGAAAGCGCGCGGAAAATTTTCAGCGAATTTTTATATTTCTTCTTTTTTTTGCTCCATCGACGGATAATGCATGTAGACAAAAATGATCATATGCGGCGATGTTCATGATTCACGTTAATACGTGAAACCGCTGTTGATGGTATTAAACACTTAGTGTAGGCCTACGTACGTGCGCGCGTGCACGCACGCAGGTAGTGGCAGCTTGCTATGGTACGTGGGGCGCAGACACGGTATCCTGCACGCGTGCGTGTACGTGCACGCGAGCACGCAGGTAGTGACAGCTTGCTATGTTACGTGGCGCGCACATGAAGTACCGTGCGCGCGTGCGTGTATAAAAAAAGGGTGCACGTGTATATGTGTGCGTGTGTGGGGTGTGTGCTTGCGTGCATGCGCGCGCGCAGGTGTGTATGTGTGTAGTGTGTACACAGTTATCGAGTAACACGCTGTTAAACAGGCTTACCTATATTACACCTGCCGAGCTATCCAGTATCAATAGCCGTTCAATCACTGCTCAGTTGCGTCAACGCGCAGCTGCGTCCTCACTGCCTTGCTGCGTCGCTGTGTAACCCCAAACGCAGCTCTGCCGCGTCACTCTGTAGATGCGTCACTGCCTTCCTGCGTCGCAGTGTTTATCCGTCACTGCCTTGCTGCGTCACTGCGTTGCTCCGTCACTGCTTCTCTGCGTCGCCGTATGTCTACCGTCACCGCAGCGCGTGTGTCACCGTCTATCTCCGTGCCTCTCTCACGTGCGTCCTGACTGCTGCTGCTGCTACTGCTGCCGCTGCTACTGCTGCCGATGATGATGCCGATGGTGATGCTGATGGTGATGATGGTGATGATGGTGATGGCATGCGCTTCTGTTTACTAACATCGCGTGATGTCGCTTCATGCGCCGCGCGCGCGCTGTCCCCGTCAGTGGTGACGTCACGCTCTGATCTATATACAAATATATATGTGTGTATGTATAGAGAG